GGTGACTGGGGAGGGGGATCCACAATTTTCAAAGGGCTGAATCTTGTTGTTTCTGAGCTTTATTCGGCTAAATATTGGTGCTTTAGTGTTTTAGAAGGTCTGAATCTTTCAATTTTGGAGTAGGGTTTGGCTGAATCTTGGTGTTTTGGAAGTTTTTGATCTGTGTCTTAATGTTTGGAGGATTTTTGCGCTAAATGTTAGTGTTTTGGAGGTTCTCATAGACATAAGATACCTAAGGACGTCTTGAGATGAACTTGGGAAAGGAGGAACCCCCAGTCCACGGCGCTATCCTCTTGTTTTTTCTCCAAAACCAGGATTTTTCTATCCCAAGCTTTGTCCAGATGGAGGAGAAGGCAAAGCCCCAGAGATCCCACACAAGGAGGGGTTGCAAACCCAAACCAGGAAGCTGCAAGGAAGAAAGATCCCCTCTGTGCCAGGAACACGGCCAGAGATCCAGCCAGAGCTCAGAGCTGGGGGAGAAGCCCCACAAGTGCTTGGAATGTGGGAAGAGCTTCAGGTACAGCTCTGACCTGCTCCGGCACCAGAGGATCCACACTGGGGAAAAGCCTTACGAGTGTGGGAAATGTGGGAAGAGCTTCAACCGGAGCTCCAGCCTCAGGAATCACCAGATGATCCACACTGGGGAGCGACCCTATGAGTGTGGGAAATGTGGGAAGAGTTTCAGAGATATCTCTGAACTGATGAGACACAAGGTGATCCACACAGGGGAACGGCCCTACACCTGCTTGGAATGTGGGAAGAGCTTTGGGTGGAGCTACTGCCTGAGAGCACACCAGCTCATCCACACTGGGGAGAGGACCTATGAGTGTCCTGAGTGTGGGAAGAGGTTTCAGACCAGCTCCCATGTCCTCCAACATGAGCAGATTCACACAGACGAGAGGCCCTTCCGCTGCCCCGACTGCGGGAAGAGCTTCCAGCAAAACGCCACCCTCACTCTCCACCGGCGCATCCACAGTGGGGAGAGGCCCTACGAGTGTCCCCAATGTGGGAAGAGCTTCTCACAGAGCTCTCACTTGACCCGACACCAACGGAGGCACCAGTAAGGGAAGCCCTGCGAGTGCCCCGAGTGCGGGAAGAGCTTCGTGCGCTGCTCCAGCTCCATCCCCCATGGGAGGATCGGCGTTGGATGATCCCCAGTGACCCCCGTTGGGCAGAGCCCTGGTGATCCGTGGTCCTGGTGATCCGTGTTGGGAAGACACCTGGCTGGGAGGCTCCACATCTTCCTGGCTCCCTGTGGGCACCTGGATGAAAGCAGGGGAATGAAAGTCTGTCAGGACACAGACCAACAATGGGAATTCCTTGGGGACAGTGGATTTGTTGACTTTCAATCCTAGAGAACCTTTTTCTGCTGCCTCAGGAGCTCTGTGGACAGAGAAAAGAGGGTGACACCAGCCTTGGGGGCCCCGAGGAGAGCACACACACTCTGGGGGAGGGGATATCCCAACCTAGGGACCCCCTCTCACATTCTTCCTCAGGTAGAAGCCGAGCCCCAGCAGCAGCAAGACAAAGCCCAACATGGAGACTCCAATCCCCGTCAGCACCTTGCTGTGGGCAGCGTTTGACAGAATCCCTGGGGGGTCTGCAGGGGTCAGGACCCCCAAAACTTCTCACAGACCCACCAAGCCCCTCCAAGGACCCTCCCAGTCTCCCCCAGCCCACCCAGGACCCTCTGACACCTCCTTTGGAGTCACTAATTTTAAACAATTAACAATTTTAGAAAAATTGGAGATCTTAGCTAGAGATAGGACTTGCTGGAAGTAGTTGGAGTTAATGATTAAGTGAGAAGCAGGATTTGAGATAATGAATCTCAGACTGAGGTAAAAAATTACTTGTCATTGTATGTTTGTTTAGATGTGCTTATAATGAGAAAAGGGAAACTGATAAATGGGTTCAGGAAGATCACAGACCTTACATCTGGAAACCCATTTAAAAGTCACAAGGGAGGAACCTGGAGTTGTACCAAATGTCATTTGTAATGTCAACCATTGTAAAGGTAGAAAGGTCAGAGTGAGGAAGAGCAGTTTTCCTTCATCTCTTGATGACCCCTCCTCACCAAAACGACCTCCTCCTCAAATTACAGAGCCCACCATGCAGGCGTAATGACATATTAAAATCATTACCATGAATTTTAATCTGAAGTGGAGCATGGGCAGTGTTAGCATTATGAATATGTATTAGTATTAATATGTATTAGTATTTTGGATATTTAAGATTTTGGTAAATAAATAGACACTGGAATCTTTTGTCAACTTACAGTGCGTATTAAGGGGTGGCTCCTGCACTCGCCCAGTGCTGGGATTAAACATCCACTTTGTAACTTTAAACTGTTGGAGAGGTTTTTTGTCCATTAACAGATTGATATTGATACTGGATCAATATTGCTATTTTGGTAAATCACTGCCAGTCTCTTCCCAGCCTCCCCAGGACCCACCAGAGCCCCTCCTGTTCCTCTCAGGATCCCACAGCCCCCTCCCAATTTCCCCCCACTGCTCCAGGACCCCCAAACCCTCTCCCAGTCCCTTCCCAGCCTCACCAGGACTCATCAAGACTCCTCCCAGTCTCTTCCCAGCACAACCAACCTCATCCCAATCCCTGCTTTCCAATGCCCAATCTCCTTCCAGCTCCTCCAGGCTCACTCAAATCCCTCCCAGTGACACCCAGCACTCCCAAACTCCCTCCCAGTTTGCACCAGCACCCCCAGAACCTCATCCCACCCTCCCCAACATCCTTCAAACCCCTTCCCAGCCATCCTAAGCACCTCAATCCCTTCCCCAGTTTAAACCAGTCTATCTCAAACTCCCTCCCAGTTCCTCCCAGCACACCCCAATCCCCCTCTGGGCCCCCCCAGTGCCTCCCCCGCTGCCCCCGGCGCTGTGGGGGCCGGGCCGTGCCTCAGTGCCGGCTCAGGGGGTGCTCCAGGCTGACGTGCTCCACCTGGCAGCTGGAGCTGAGCCCGCATTGCCGGGGGCGGTTTCCAGCAGCACCAGGAGCTGCTGGCTCCAGTCCCCGCTGGGGAGCACGGCAGTGGCCAGCACGTGGCCCGAGAGCTGCTGCTGGCCCTGGGAGCAGCTCAGCTGGATGTGGGCAGGGGAGAAATCCATCAGGGAGCAGAGCATGTGGCCGGGGCCGGGCTGGGAGCTCGAGGGCACCAGCGAAATGGACACGCTGGGGGCACTGGGAGAGGGTGGGGACAGACTGGGATCAGCTGGGGGGAACTGGATGACAGAGGAGAGGAGTGGTGTGGCATTGAGAGGGTCTGGAAATGAACTGGGAGGGACTGGGGTGGCACTGAAAGATATGAGAATGGATGCTGGGACACTGGAAGAGAGTGTGGACGTCTGGGAGTGAACTGGGAATGAACTCGGAATAGACTGGGAATGGGCTAAAAAGAAGTGGGAGGGACTCTGGGGCCTCTGGGCGGGACTGTGGTGGCACTGGGCGGGACTGTGGTGGCACTGGGAGGGACTGGGAATGAAGTGCACGGCACTGGAAGGCCGAGCCCAGCGCGGGGCACTCAGCTCTGTGGATCTGCCCGGCAACTGATGAGTCATCAGGGAGGCGCGCTCTGATTGGCTGAGGAGCGGTGTCAGCGTTCAGGAACACACATAGTCACGATTATATGCAGATGCTTTATTGAAGAGCTCTGGGTGTCAGGGGTACACACACCCAAATCTGACCCATCTTGGTTTTGGGCTGAACATGTGTTATGCTCTTTCATTATACAACTTACATATTAATTATTAAACTGACATTGTTCTATTGCATGCATTTTTTTACCCAAGCATGGATTTCTCGTGATCTCCCTCAACCCCCTAACATTGTTCCTCATGTTCTTTAAACAATAATTATATCTAATCACATCTAAAAATTGTATCATATATCATCTACTGATTACACAGGTGCAGTTTCACCTGATCTTTAGCAAGTACAAGGCCTAACATTTCTCAGGGCCTACTTTTCCCAGGGCTTTCCAAACCTAACTTTCTTTCTATGTCCCCAAATTTTCTATGATTTTAAGACCTTTTACTATCATTCTCCCCTTTGAAAGCATTTTCACTTCACTATAAGTGCAAATGTTTTCACTTGATACAGTCCTTTGTTTCTGAGTTTATTCTTGATGTTCTTCGAATCCTTGATTGATGCAAACATTGTCCTGGATGTTGTAACAAATTGGAGAACCAGAAGATGGTGGGTGTGGATCTCACATCAGTGCCTTTATTATTTTCTGGTTCCAGGACATTTTCTTCTTCCCTTGATGATGCTGTAAACTAACCTCAAATTGCTAAGAATACAATTAGTAAGATTATCACTCTCTCAATGATAGATTTAATCCATGAACTCACATTCCACCCTAACCCTTTGAAGATTTTGCCTAACCAACTTGTAGACAAGTCCTTTTGCTCTTCCTGTGCTCCATGCTTTATTTGCTGCAATTGATTAATGTCATATTCCACATCTTCAGTTTCATTTGGGGTGTGGATGCAGCAATGATCAATCCGTCCCTTTAAAAAAACTCACACACTCCATGCTCTTTCAGGAGTAGTAAATTGTAATTGTACGTTTAGTTCTTTAAATCTTTCTCAGGTCACTCTTGCTAATTTATCTACCTGATCTGTAAGTTTGTACAACATTTCTTTATTCTGATAGTTTGCTATAGGACCAAGCAAAGACTCCAGGGCCCACCCAAATTTCACTCTACTAGAGGGTTCTTGCCAAGTGTCATCCTGATTCTATTCCTATCCTAATCTTCCCTAGCTATGCCTGTGTCTACCCACTGAGTTGATTTTGCCATTGTTAGCATCCGTACTGAGATTAATTTTTGTTTCATCAATTTCACCAATGCCTCTGCACCCCAATGACATTTGTTATGTTTAATTTGTAGAACTTCTCTCATTATCAAGGGGGTTAACACTATTTGTCTTTGTGCAGTTACATACCACTCTTCTGAATCCTTTTGTGCATTTAGCAAATGTCCCAATTTCTCATCTTCTATTGAATATTTTGGCTTTGGAGGCAAATTGAATTGACATACATTAACTTTTAAAGGTATCAAAGCCATTGCTGTTGGAACTTCTCGAGCAATCTGTCGGGCTGTCCAGTCTGCTTTCTGATTTTCCTCACAAATTTCGGAGTTTCTTGATTGGTGTGCTTTACACGGT